TAGCCGGGAGAGGTTCGCGGGGAGGCGAGCACCGGCGCAGCGGCAGCCATGGGGCTGCAGCCCCTGGAGTTCAGTGACTGCTACCTGGACAGCCCCTGGTTCAGGGAGCGGGTGAGAGCCCACGAGGCCGAGCTGGAGAAGACCAATAAATTCATCAAGGAGTTGCTCAAGGATGGGAAAAACCTGATCGCCGCGACCAAAAGTGAGTGGAGGGGTGCGGGAGGAGACGCCGGGTCGCTGCGGGGGCGGCTCCCGGCGGCTCGGGGCCCGGCCCTTGCAGCCGCTCGCTCGGCGCCGAGAGGTTTCGACTTTGAGCCGGCGGCGCTTGCTTTTGTTGCAGTGAGTTTTGCACTGGCTTTCTCCAGCCTCTCACCAGCCGCTTTGGGGACATAGGTCCCCTCCACCCCTTCGCCGTGGAGAGGGCATAAGGGATAGCGGCGGTAGCGCCGGCAGCAGCGCCGGGTAACTCCACTTGTGTAACGCCTGTTGTATCTGCCCAGTCTCTTGGCCGGGCCTGGCTTATGTGTTTGGCGGTGCCGAGTCCGAAGTGAGCTACGATGTTAAATCCGCTGAGAACTCGGTTTCAAGTTTTACCGGTGCGTTGCAAGCTGAGCGTCTGCGAATCGCGTATCTCAACATAACGATGTACATGTATGTGCATTTGTAGTCTGTGAAGAGGCTGCTGAAGATACCCCTTTGTCAAAATTTTAAGTAAGTTCAGGAATTACCGGACTTACAGTTCTGTGGTGACAGCACTAGTTACCAGTTCTATGTTTTTGGCCTCTTAAAATGTGATGGTGTTTTCTAATTTTGCGTTTTACTCGTTGAATATATATATTTCTATATTTATGGTTGCCTATGCTGTGGTTTTTGTGGGGATCATGTTATTTTCCTTGAATGACCACGTTAATGCATGTTCTTAATGTAGTATTGTGGTAATATAATTTCTTCCATTTAACTTAAGATCTAGTAGTGTAGTCTCCTAAATATCTAGTAGGATGATTTACTATACCAATTATTCAAATAAAACACTAATGCAGTGCTGTGGCACTGTGTTCTCAAAATTGTACTGCATCTTTGGTATCATGGAAAACTTCTCAAGGAAGGGAACCAGGCTTTCAAGATATTTTCCTTAAAGTAAACTGAGAAGGATTTGGCCAATGGTTTGAGCAGTGTAGCTGCCTGGATATGGTGAGGGTTTTAAAAACTGAGATAACTCATTTTGTGCAAATAAAGAAACATTCTTTCCTGTTTTTGTCTCTGTTTGATGTGCCTGGGTAAAAAAAGGTAGAAAATGCCATATCAAACTTCACTTGTTTGTAACTCTTATTCTTTGACCAGTTAATATTCAGTTATTGCAAATCGTGTTCCTTGAGGATTATTTGAAATCTGTGACTTGAAGTGTAGGTATAAATCATCCTAACTTGGAGTGCAAAGTAAAAAAGTGTCGCTAAACTTGGATAAGAATGGTAGAGGGAAATCATTCCACTTTGCTTCTATTCCTCAAGCATCTAGACAGTATTTTGGCAACTGCCCCAAACCCTCGGTTTCTCATGTACAGTTACATATACAGAACTTAATTTGAAAGTGTGGAGCTGGTGGTGGTGAGGAAAGCCCTAACTTACGTGAGCCTCCTATCCACAGCAGAATCCTGTGCTGGTAACTGGCTTGGTGTGCAGTGCTCGGCGCGCTTAGCTGTGTGTGGTGAGAGCCAAGGGAGTCAGCGTGCCAAGCAGAGCCACCTGGCCTGAGAGTGCTTGATGAAATACTTAGGGCTAGCCCATGAGAAATATTTAGAGAAGCTCTCTGAGATCCTGCCTGGTGTTCAGGTCTAAGCAATTCCTTCCTTTCTGAGATGACAGTCAGAAATTTTCTTCTTGACTTTAGGTGCTGTACCTCATTCTAACAAACACCTGTGCTTCAGCATACTTGCTTGAGAAGTGGAAACAGAGGTTAGATCTTTCCTTACACATTTCAGGTTCCTGCAGTTGTCTCTCCCCTTCAGAGTGCCCTGCGTGACAGGTTTGAAGCTGAGTCGTCTTCCTCTGCCGCTGGTGAAGCAGTGCCACTGCCACTGTTCAATAGACATTAAAAGACAAGTTGAACCAGAGGAAACATAAGGAGGAGTTAAAAGCCATTAAACCCCCAGTGGTTAGGGTACTGGTCCTCCTTATGCTTTCAGAAGAAAACATTGGCATCTAAATTCTTTGAGGAACCTGATTCATTTGCTGTCAGGAAACCAAATGGGATTAATATTTGTTCCAAAAAGCAAGCTCGAGAAGCGGTCTAGACACAGAGCTAGCTATTCACCTCTGTCAAAACTGCATTTTCTGCACAAAGACTGGCTTGCCGCAATCTAGAGAATGTGATAATAAAGCAGGGCATTTCGAGAGCTTAGGTGACTACCTCTTAGACAACAGTTGATTTCAATTTTTGGAAAATTGTTTTAGAGTTTTGAACAAAAAATGTCATCTTAATAATAGTTAAAGTATTTCTCTGTTTCTAGAACCAGGTAAATTACAAAATTTACATCTGTTTTAATTGATACGTGAGCATAATAAGCTTTTCTGAATGGGCTACAAAATTTAAAATGTAGTAGGCGCACTATGGTTCTTAAATTTGTGGGAAATGAAGTGACTGCAATAGAGACTGCCTGCGTTTCTCTCCCTTAGCGCTTTCCTTATTTCACTTGTAAAGCAGCGGCTTACAAGAAATGTCGTGAGGATTCTTTAGGTGTGAATTACTGATGTGATTGAATAGATCCCACTTCCTGCTTGACAGACAGCCTTTTAAATGACTTTGATGCTGCCTGCACTGGGTTACATCTTGAGAGGTGGTAAGCAGATACTGCTACCACTCCCTCTAATCACAGGAGTCATCAGTGTCTCGCAGGACAAACCAGTAACATGATGTGGATCCTCTCTTTGGCTCCTTTCCATTTGTCTCCTCAGTTGTATGGGAGTGTATTTTCCACCTAAAACTCAGAAGAATTGATTTTTGTTAGTACGGGACTATACTGCTTAAGAAAAAAAAAAAAGGGAAAAAAGAAGGATCTTTTGCATTCTTAAATTGTTGAGTTTCCAGTATGAAGCATACTTCAAGTGTATCTTAACGCTTTTAAGTTTCAGTTGTTTCAAGAATCTGATAGAAAGATAAACAAGACTGACTCAAAGCTGTCTCGTTTCCTGTGTAACGGTTTGAATCACTGAGTTGTCTAGTTCAAGCTAAATATTGGAAGAATGAATAAACAATAGGTGGCTCTTTCTTTTCTTATGATGGTTAAATATGTTTAAAAGGAGTACAGAAAGACAATTTTTTTCCACTGTTAGTGATCAGTAAATACAAGCAGCGTACACATATGCCTTTTAAAATAGAAATGCAATATTTCTTATGGGATTCCAGTTCAGTTAAACAAGTGAGGATCAAAATAGTTTATAAATAACTTCTGGATGGAGTTAGTTGTTCTTCTGTTGAGAGAAACTGAATTTAAAGGTGCCTGATTGGAGAACCCTTATTCTGAAATGTGAAAGGAACTTGAGAGGTTTAGTTCTGAGCTCTTAAAATCTCTGAGATGAAAATTGTTGGAAGCTAAAACGTATTTGCTTCTGAATTCTTCTCCCTACGTTGGTCCAACTCTTGGTCTCTTGACATTAGTGTGAGATTTCTTTGGGGTTTTTGAAGATTTTTTTTGGAGGCAAGACTTTTCTGTAAACGTACAGCAGGAGCTGCCACTTCTTATGACACCTCAGGGTGGAGTAGGAAGAGTTAGCATGAGCGTAGGTTTTGGTCCTGGGCATCTCACGGGGGGTTTGTGAAGGTTACTTGTGAGTGCGTGCTCACAGCTATTCCACGTGCCTGAAAGCGGAGCCTCCCCATTCTTGGATTTAGGCTCAGATCAGAGCAGAATTCCGTTTGGGTCAACTGCGGTGACTTTGTAACGGGCTGATGAAGACAGAAGATGGAGAAGCCGGGAAAACAGAAAAGTTGAGTTCCCTAGGAGGCTTTCAAGGGGTGGTCTGTATGCAGTGCCCATCTAAGGGGAGCCTAGACAAAGTTTGAGATGGAAGGGTGCCCCACATGGGCCTCTCAGCTAAAATGCATCATAAAGCCTTTCATCGAGTCAGAGTCATCTACTGCCATGTGGGCACAACAGTATTCAAATGCTCTTATCATTTGTGCTAGAATGCAGAGCAGCCACCTTCCTCTACTTGCACCCTGAGCAACTTGCTACCCAGCAGCCCCATTGTGCGTTTTTCAGGGGGGTAGACCTGTCCCTCATTATGTTGCGCTCTCTGTTTCAGCTGAGACACATTTCATTCCTCCTGTACCCTGAGGTTTTGTGTTGTGAGCTCAGTTCTGTGAGGTCTTGGCCGTTGCATTTGGTGCAGCAGAGGAGGAAACCAGACACCTTCACTACCCGGTGCTGGTCTCTGTAGGCAGCTCAGTGTGCTCAGGCTTCTGGTGACTATTTTTTATTGCTATTTTTGTTTCATGTTTTTCACAGAGGAGTTATTCCTTGCACTCTACGAGACAGAATACAAAATAAGAACCAAATTTATTTTATCTGTAGAAAGTGTTTATTGGAATATAAAGAGTTACTGATAATTGTTACTGAAGAATGCTGGTTTACTCCAGGGAGTATTTCTGCATTCATGAGAAAAAAGATAGTGAATTCTCTTTCCTTTCCTCTGAGGTGTTATTAGTCACTGGTCATTTACAAGTTTGCCATCAAGAAGTTAAGCAGACTGGAAATCTTGTTGGCAATAGGAATAAAGCCATTCCCAATCCCATCTCTGACCTAGTAGAATAGGCTGAGTCTTTATCAAAGTCAACTGAAGAACCTAAGCCAAACCCAAGATCCAATGTGATGTCTGAGTTGGCCAAACCCATATTCTTTTTCTTGGCCAGTTTTCATAGTGTGTGGTGGTGGTTGACCTCTCAGATACTGGCCTAGGTGGGCTTTTGGTCTGACCCGGTATGGATATTCTATAACTGTAAAGGCTGTTGTAATCCACATAATAACACAGCATAAAAGCCACTCCGATCACTTGAGCCACAGTGTTTTTTTCTTAAGCACTAATTGTCAATTTTTTAAAGCTTTCCTTAGTATAATCTGCACTTACAAAACCACTTAGCTGAATGCGTAATGTGTGCCAGCTCTCAAAGTCTTAGGCATTTTCTGCAACAGAAATGTTGTTCTAC